AGCGGCTTGACCCTTTGGGCACGGATTATGATTAACTCATTACATATGTTTTATCCCATTTGTTTCACTGCTTCAGCAACTGCACCAAGAATTACAGTGTTTTCATAGGTGTTAAGGCTGATAATGAGGGGAACTAAATTCCTTTTGATAACTGCATATTTTTGTGATGTCTCCAATTATTGTGATTTAATGTCTTCTCCTGAATTTAGGTTTTCAGCTATTGTTTTGTCTTCAGACTGGACACCCTCTTCAATTGATGTATCAGCAATGATCTCTAGCTGTTTTTTGACAGCCCTATACTGACTCAATCTCATTAAATACAGCCGCCAATAAGTTCAGTTCGGGTTTCATAAAGCGTTTCAAATTCTGTGAAAAACTCATTGTGTGTGGATCGCATTATCTATCTTCCCAAAGAGGGTAAATCATTTTTTGGTGGCATTGTGTTGTGTTTATTCAAATTGTTGATGTTCCATCTGAGTTCAAACCCTTAGCCACGTTTTCATGCAGACAATGTGACAGGGGTCCACACGCAATCAGATATCCAACCACACACCAAAAATAAAAAAATTGTACCTTATCTTAGGAAATCGTTTCCTTGGAGTACATGTTTTCAAAGACAGTCAGTCGCGCCTTTGTGATCTGTCCTCCTTGTGTTGCTGACACTAAGATGACCTCTGTGGCTGGTTGGCCTTCAGTGTATGTCCTTGTGATGCATAGAATTTTGACTGTTTTGCACCACGGGTCGGGGCACTACTTGGTTGAAGACACTGGGAAAATAATTACTACAGGATCTTCCACTTAATTCTTCTAACTGGTAGTGGCTGTAGTTACATGTGTAGTAGTGATAACAGCCAACTGAAACAAGAGTATACATTGTATGCACGTTAATCAACTACAAAGGCTTAATAAACCGATTCAAATCAAAAGTGAAATCAGAAAACTTTCTTCCAGAAATTTTAATGTTATTATACTTACAATTGTGTAAGGCATTATTCCGTTTGACACAAGGCTATTTTCCTCTTTTAATGATCAAAGGCATGAAAGGTGCAAAATGCAACAAAAGCTTAATAACAGGTTTCTCTTTTCATCCTGATCAATTTATTTCCCAATCACGCCATTCCACCAGGCCGGTGAAGTCTGATTGGCAAAAGAACAAAATCTTGCTTGTCTGATTTAATCGCCTATAAAGACAATAAAACAGTGCTCAAAATTAATCACAGCTGTCAGCACAGTGCAAAACACTGTCTCTTCTGCATCTGAGGGACATGAACTGGATTCGAAGTATGCATCTTTCTTGATACACAAGATCACTGCTCTCCTTTCTGTTGTCAAACTGGTAAGTCTCTCTGAAATCACTTACAGATAAAGCTTTAGAGAGAGAGAGAGAGAGAGCCATAAGAACGGGCACTTTCGTAACAAAAAAGGGCACTTTTGTAACAGGATACGAAACTTTTGTAACAAAGGTAGGGAACTTTTGTAACCAAGGGCACTTTTGTAACGTCACTAGGGCACTTTTGTAACAAATGTGGCACTTTTGTAACTAAGGAATTTTTTCAGTAACTTTCAATGAGTTTATAGTGATCAATATTTTCTTACCCTTTTATATATTTCAACTAGTAAAATTTCTACCCTTACATATGCCTGAAGCTTGAAAAAGATACCCCTTTTGGGCGGAGCTTCCTCGTATAGGCCATTATAGATAGTACTCCCCGGGATGAAGGTATGGGACTTGTTTACTGAGTGATCTATATTTGGTTGTATTTTAAGGTGACTGGGATGATGTAACAAACAGGAAAACTCATGAGAAAAAAATGGAATTCAGTCACTGCCGTTGACATACCTGGAAGAATCTAACCTAATCCTTCATTTGAAAATAAACTTAACCATTACAAAGTAACTGGTGGTAATTAATGAAGAGGAATAAGCAGAACTTTCAACTCGATGAATATTTCTTTCGAATGCAACGCAATATACATATTATATTAAAGTATCAAACTTTTTCATTATTTTTTCAGTTTAGCTGGAATGATAGATTAATCCCTCACTTATGTGTCCTAAAAATGTTGCGTGGCCACTGTAACAAAGATAAAGAAAGAGCTAAAATACACCCAATAACCGCTGTGGAAAAAACACCTTAATGGGACATAATGAGTGCAATTTTTGCTCCATGCATATAACAACATCAAAAAACAAAGAAAACTACACTGACCAATAACACTGCAAGATCGGACTAACGCTTGGCGCTAACTGAAATGGCTTAATTAAAGTACAATAAGGACAATATATATACTGCCATGTTTTAATAAGATAATCTCGTACATGGATCTCTTGTTTATAAAGCTGAAGGCGACATCTGGTAAAGTAAGAAAATTCAATTTTCTTGGATTGGCTAGAATGTGAGCATTACGGAATCGCGCCTGTAGAAACGCGTCGCTAGTAAATGCAAATTTTTCTGTCAATCAAATGTCTCCTATTATTTGTAGGTGGAAATTGGGGAAACATCGTTATTGTTTTGGAGACAATAGAAGAACAAAAGATAACAGAAAGATCAAGTTATGCGGTCTTAAAGCATGTTGCATGACTCTAATCAGTTTCAGCATTTCTCCTAACTTTCCCGCGTTAAAACGTTGGAATGAAAAGTCTGAAGCTTAGCTTTTAAAATCTTGATAACCAAAATAAAAAGGGTGTCCCAAAAGGCAAGCATTTGGGAATTCACAATCGATATTTTTGTCTCCAGCGAAATCTGGCGGATAAACAGTAATTTGCATGTAAGCGTAAGTGAAGCGAAATAGATACAAATTGCCGTGGTTGTAAACACAACATTTCCTCAAAGTTTTTTACCTTTTGAAAGCGTAAATTTGCATGAAAGAGCTCAGCTTGCACAAAAAAATGTAAAATGAAACGAATGAAATCGAAAAGTGGTAGAAAAAGTCGGGATATTTCATTTCAATGGAAAGTAAGTGATTGGGTAGGTGATTTGCATAATGCTAAAAACAACGTCTAGCGCAGTTCAAAACCGTTCGCCTTCCAGCATTGTTTTTGTGCAATTCTATACATTCTGCTGGCCTAAATCGTTAAAATATCTTATGAAGTCAAAATATTTATCAAGTTGAGCGTTTGCATTAACATTTAAGACAGAGTGGCGCAAAAGCTTCGATCTATAGATTTTCTTAAGTTAAATTACCTTTGTATGGTGGAAACAATACCCTAACACTTGAGTCTTGAATCAAACGACACGACATGCGTTGGCTTCCTTTGTGAGCACGCAAATAGTCATGGGACCCGCAATTTTGCGGGCGACAAGGATCTACAGGCTCCATTCCGTAATGGGGAATGACGTGAGTGTTGTCTTCTGTGCACGCTACAGTGAGTGCTTAAAGGTGGATTTCCACTGTCGTATTATTCTTATGTGTGTACGCCCATAAATTTTATACATTGGTGTAGTGTTTCCACCTCAGTTGGAAGGCATGAAGGTTCTGGAGAAGGGGACTTACTGAAATGCCAAAAGGCACGTACCTTGTCCAAGACTCTTTTGTGGTCTTCTTCCTTCAGCAGCGGATGATCAGAAATTTTGGTTTTCACCGTTTGCAGAGTAATAGCTTTATCTTTAATTTCATCTTTGAAAAGAGTCTTGATCGCATCTGCCATGTCCTCATCCCATGAAGTTCTTGAAGTGTTATGAGCTATAGTCTCTGAAGCAGGTGGGTTGGAGTAAAGAGGAGGACTGTCTGGTCTGGCTGTTTGGTCTAGTCCTCGCATAACGGTGCTAAGCTCATCTTAAAAAGAAAAGAAAAAAAAACAAACAAACAAAATCAAAAACAAATTTGACAAAACTAAATGTCATATGCCTTTTTAAAAAGGTTCCTTTGCTCTGTATGCTCTCAATCTTTATCACATCTGTTGAGACCTGAATGTATAAATCAATTCAATAGTTAATCGAGA